AAGTCTTTTTGATGTGAATATGTGTCTTAATCATGAATAACTAAAGGTGTGTTCTTCTGACATGCATGCTCCAATAGAGCAGCTTAAAAATTATTATGCAAAGCAAAAAGAAAATTCACAAAAATAAGCCCTAATGGTGCACTACAATGGTGCCAAATATTAAAACTGAGCTATTGTGAATGATTTTTGGAAGAAAATAGAAAACTTTTCCAAAACATCCTTATGTCACAATTAATCACATTGTGTAAATCAACTCTTTTACTGACCATCGACATTTTATTGTTGCAATTTTAATAATTATATTATGAATATATCATAATGATATATTTTGTTTACAAGGATTTTATAAAAATATTTTTCATTCATTTCTGAAACGGTTCGTTTGTTTTGATACTTAAATTGGTCTAATACTTCCATTTGCGTCTGATTCTTAGTCTTAATTATTTACCAAACCAATGCCAATATCAACTCTAATCACATCACCACCATTAAAACAGTTAGTTACTCCTTGTAATGTCGCAATTTCACTGTGACTCAGCATAATTGGCCACAAAATGGTCAGTAAATAATATCTGACCTTGTGGTTGAAGCTTCAGTGTCTGCCCTGGTGCGTTTATGGTGACAGTGTACGTGCCTTGGCTGCAATCTCGGCATCATCACAACTTGCCACTGACAACTTGCAACAAATCACTTTTAATCAAAACCAAATGAAACGATTTGTGGAGCACTAAAGGGCTGACATTTCTATGTGTGACCATTTCATCCCGCTATCCTGTCCATTGTTCTCGGCGTTGGAGTAGGAAGGGTAAAGGGTGGAGAGACGTTTGTATTGCATTATGTGACACAAATTGAATTTATTTGCATACAAATTCCTTTGCTATTTACTTTTGCAACCATAAATTCAATTGAAAAGTATCTACGCCATTTTGAATTTTATTACCACTGCCATTATGTGTGGGGTATGCACATTCAATTTACATAATATTATATACATATGTACATATAATATAAAATATGGTTATATTGTATATAAAGGTGTATGTTATTGAAAATATTGCAATTAACCCAGTTTTGTGTTAAGTGAGGCTAAGGTCTAATAATTATATTTATAGTCTGCGTCATTGGCGGAGGACTCACGCAGCCCCAATATTGACCCAAATTTAAACGAACCCCAATAATTGATATCCAAAATTCCCAAAATTAAAAAGTGTCATTATTTTGCCAATTTGCGTGTCAATTAATTCAATAAATTAAATTTACAAACCCATTGAGTGGCACAAATGCGCAATTAAATATTTCTTATGATTTTTGTTAAAAGAAAAACGAATTTTCTATTTAATAAAATTTATTACTCCAGTTTAGTGTCGTTCTGGCTAGTAACCGGGACACCTGAATCGAGTACACTTAATGGTTTTCTTTTATATATAAAAGAAAATTTTAAAAGCACATTTTTATTCGAAGGTCACTGCTGTAATTGGTTTCTCTACCTTAATTGGAACAAATGAACTAATTTTAAGATTGACAGAGAAATTCACAGGTTAATAGTTATTATGGTCAGTATTTATGAAATATTCATTAATGTACTTTTTAATGATTAAGTTATGTCAAATATAACTATAGAACTAGAGATATAGTACTATTTTTGTTGCCAATCCAAATTGATTAATGCCAGTCCATCAATCTGATCTTAAATATAATTCAGAGGCTACTATGATTATTAGATATGAAGTCATCATCATCATTAACATCATCATTATCATCATCATCATCCTCGGTTTTGATCTCATTGAACAAGTTCTTAAATCGACTTGGGTTGTGAGCTGATGTCGTCCAATAAGGTAAACACAGTCTTGAGTATCCTGCTCTACGCCATTTTTTTAACACAAAGTTGGTCTATTTCACTGCCGCTTAACATAAAATCTATTACAAAAAGTTTACCGAGCAGGCTTATAATTACTCATATAAGCCAAATAACTGCCAAACTGAATCTACCTATCTTACTTTTTACAGATTGTGTTTGCGTGTGGTAGTTCGTTCGAAAGTACCCTTCCTCACATATAAAAAGATGAGTCCAGAGTTTTTCATACAAAAAGGTCAGACAAGAAGTCATAACAAGGTCTTAAAATGAGTCGAAGTCAAAATGATCACTTGTTTTATAGAAGAATAAGGACTGGTGGAAAAAAATGTATATATTTCAAATACTATAATAAGAGAAATAACGACCAGACCTAGATTTTAGAATTAGCTCTTTAAGGTTGTGCTCACAATCTCTGAGTTCTCCATAGTTTAAATAGGAGAAAAAAGCCTATAGATAAGAATACGTATATTTCGAATACTAAGTCGTTTATACAAGTCAAAGATATTATAGACCATGTCATCTCTTTACAATATTGCCAACCATTGAATTATGAAGTTCTATGCACCTTCAGTTGTTTTTAATTTTCCAATGTTTTCTTATTTTTTCGAAAGGGAAGAGAATATTTTTGTCGTCTGGAAATTTATTTTTAATATATTCTTTCAGGTGTACTATATGGTGTCAGTTCTCTATTATCTTAAGTGGTTGCTTTAAATTCTTCTAAATTATCGAAAATCAGACAAGCATCTAGAGAAAAAAATTGTATTTTAAAAAGTGGAAAGAAAAAGAAAAATTATATTTAGAAAGTAATGTCAAGATTTCTTGAACTAACTTTACTTAAACTAACCTTACTTCAAGAATTTAACATATATAGATATTTGCTTAAAAATATATACTCGTAATATGTCCCACTAATTACAACTGGTCAGATATCAAAAAATGTATAATAGACTGTGTTCAAAGTGTAGATGATAGTACAAGTCAACTAAAATTTATTTCACGCCTCCACATTTAGTATTAAGTGTGTGTCATTTACTGCCCTCAACCGAAAGAGTCAATCCAGTACCATGGAATACAGTTACCCGCAATACTTTGTTGTCTTGCACATTCAAATGTGCTCTGTCGGGGACCGTAATGGTTGTTGCAGTTGAAACCTGGAGTCATTTAGGTGCAATTGGCTTCACTAAATGTCTAAATATGGTTAGTATTTTCATCCATATGCTATAACCTACAGATCAGAAAGAGGTTTAACTTCGTCCTCGCTGCTTACACAGCTTCTATGTGTATACGCGGCATTTATTCCAATGGAAAGTTGATCGAAGCATTATACCGGTACGAATGATAAGAAAATTAAGCTATAACTGCAGTTGACCTCATATATCATTGTACGCGTTATACCTGTTCTAGGTATATCCGCAATGAAATTCTTTTGAAATGTGCTTAATTCTTAATTCAAATGTGCTTAACATATTAACCATGTCGAAACCAAGAAATCCAAACAGATTTTGTTTTATTGAAATACTAGTCACTCATTTCTATTAAAGGAAATAGAAATTTGTTGATATTTTTAAAATTATTGCTAAAAATTTGTCGAATAACTCTTTTTTTTGGACCTCAAAACAGCCGTAAAGTGGGACGTCTTAACAACACATGGAGAAGAACATTGCAAGTGAAAATCGTTGGTCCGGATAAACATGGAACGAGCTGAAGATTTTGGCGACAACAGAACCATGTGGAAGTACGTTATTAAAGCTCTATGCTCCAATAGAAGATGCAGGAATTGATAATAATGATAACTTGCATAGAATTATATTGTTTAAGAAATTGTAAGGTAAAGTTGAAACTCGCACTAAAACCATATACATATATATATACTATTTATATATTATATATATAAACTATTTTTATATATATATATGTATATATAAGTTGATTTCGAAACACATTTACCTAGTACTCTCTCTGATTTCCGGAGATTAAGTAATATATATATATATATATTAATTATATATTATATACACATAGCAGAAAAAGTCTACGGATATCTAGAAAATTTTTCTTTTCTTCGAAAAGAAAAAGAAAAGATTAACTTTATAGAAGTTAATCGAAAGCAGCTCAAAACGTATTAGCATTTGAAATCATGATGCCGAGTGAAGTAATTGGTTTTATTTCTTTCTTTTTGTTTTTTTTTTATTTTTTAATGATTGCATATTAATGACTGCATATTATAAATACGCAGTAGACTCTACAGAACGGTAGAGTGACGAGAATTGATAAAGAAAACTTTTTATGAGGGACAGAATTATGTTCAATAATCCACCATTCACAACACTGCAAAGCTTAAAGATAATATATAGAAATCTTGGTACTTCAATTAATTGGTGACTTTCAAAAGCTCCAACGTACGCCTACTAAATCTGTATACATATGTAGTACTACTTAGTGTTTTACTGAAAAGAACAAAGTGAAGTCGTTGGATGAATAAAAGGGGCAAAGATCTGACACATATAAGTACAATAATAAAAACTAAATAATGCATCCTCTTTTTGAAATATTGTTTCATATTCCATCGTTTCAAAAGGTCGTTCGTGTAAAAGTTGAAGGATAAAGTTTTGATTTACATCTCCATTTTGCTTCTTATATTTATTAGTTATTCCAAAGACTATGAAATCAAAACAAAATATAAAAGGAAAGTAATTTCCCTTTAAGAAATAAAAATGAAAAGTTCTGTTCATCTTTTCAGAAATTATTTCGCTTTAAGGCTATCAAAATGTGTACTAAGAATATACAAAGATATGCTGTTAAAAATGGTTTAATGTTTGCATACAATATTAAAATAAAAAGAGTAATATATTAAAATAGTAATAAAATCGAAAACAAAAAATGGAACCGCAATTATTCTTTCCACTTTAGTTCAGCTGTTAACTCTTACTAAAGTAAACAATAAATACATAGACAATTCTATGTTTTTGTTCAACATCTGTTTAACAAAGCAGCATTGCTGTCATTTAAATTAAGGCTACCAATAGTCACAGTTTATTCTACTCTCCGCTAGAGCAAACAAAATTGTTATAAAAATATATTAATTACTTCAGTAACATGTAATAAAGGTTTTATTTCGAAACAAGAGATTAATACTAAATTGATAAGTAATCCTATTGATATATAATTTTGGATCAATATTCACTAAATTAAATTTGATTGACGATTCTTTTTGAAAAATGTTTGAAGAAATTATTGATACAGCGCGTACACTGAACACACTCAATTTGACAGTTAAGATTTTGGTGCCGGTGATTTGCAATATTTGTGTGCCCTTAGTTTTTTTTATGGTCGGTACTATTATTTGTTTACGTGTATTATTGCGTCGATGTAAGTGATAATCAATTATATTTAATTTAAAAGCAATATTAAAGTGTGTTTATTTTAGAAAAAGTTCTAAGCTGCATAAAGTGACGTGGATAATTTCACGAAAATCATTTCCAAATTCTGAATATTTAGAAACTCAAATTTGACAACAACAAAAGTGCAATGTCCCAACAAAGCGATAAAATTGTAAGTAAACGTGCTTAAAAAACAAACTCAAATTTCAGGTTTTCTCCATAAAAAACAATTAGTTGCCTAAAATATGGTTTAATGTTTAGAAAAAAATATTAATTGTTTTTAATGGCAATAAATGTGGATGTGAGCGCCTGTTGTACGCAAGGCCACTGCCGGCTGCAATTGTCTGACAATTGCCGGCTGTTAGCGTCACTGTGTGTTGTTATTGTAAATATCAATGATAGTAAAGCAAAAAGGATGAAAACGCATAAAAATGCAAAAAATGATCTACTTTTGTTGTTGCGTGCCTTAAACTCAACCCCAACCAAGCCCGCAGCTTCACACAAGTGCTTAGATTGATTTGTTTACATTGGAGCGCTGGCGAATGGTACTCATAACGTTATGTTATATTTTTTTTAGCGTTAATTTTAATGAATTCAATGGAATTTGAGAAAAAAACAAATTTCTTAATATTGAAATATGTTTATTTTTGCGTTTGTAATTAAAACCTGCTTGCACAGTTATAAGCAATTAAAAGTGCTGTGGTCAAGACAATGGAATAGATTGATTTCTTCAGAACTAAAGCAAACCAACTGAATAAATATTTTCACAGCTTAAATGCGCAACATTATTATTGCATTATATTTTATAGTTTTAATTTTTTAAATTTAAAACATTTTTCAATAATCGTAAACCCAGCCATGTGAAATTGAGTTGGATAGGAAGAGAACCAAGTTCGATGTGAACACTGAATTAGTTAATATTGGGCCTAGAA